GACGCGCTCACCACTGGACCACCGGGCCACCATCATAATGCATAAACTGTTAATTTACATTTTGTTTAATTCTGTTATTTATTATTGTTTACCTGAATAAACGTGTCAACAAAACACTGTTGGACTTGAAAACGCAAACATGCTACACAGTAAGCAGGGTTTTAGGAGGATCTCAATGCAAAAGTCTTGTTTGACTGTGTCACAGATACGTGACAGAAGATGAAGTTTGAGGGGCTCTGTTGCAAACCAGACACTGCTGCTTTGCTGCCTTTGCTGTCTGTGCATTCTCTCCACGGGGATTGCACGATTAGGCGTTCTCCATGCCACTCGATCCCCCCCAGCAGGTGTGCTGACAAGCATCGTGGCTTTAACCAGTGCGTAATGCTGCAGTGACATTGCCTTTAACTTCTTCACGCCATGGCCACAAGATTAGCGACATTTTATGATACAATTATGATACAATTATTGTGTATTATGTTTTTTTTTAAATCTGTCTCTACAAAGATAATCAGTTTTTTTGTTTTTTTTTAGTGCCACTACTCGAGTGGTATTAATGGACCAATTATGTTCATTTTATTGGATGCAGTATGTAGTGGTGTCGAGCAGTTTTCATATCTTGTTGCTATTTTGTAGCGATATAAGGCAATCAAAATATTAAAGTACACTGTCTGGTTGTCCAAACTTATGGACTCATTTTGAAATGTATTACTGCTAGAGCAAGAAACTTCCTGATTCGAAACTGTATTTGCGTGTCACATTAATCCACACCGAAACTGCTTTTTTATTGCCGCACAGTGTTAGGGTGTAATTGGTATTTATGATCTTGATGCCGATTGCGCTGTTTTATTGTGCGCTCACATTGTTTCAATGCTCTCAATGATTCTTATTTGTTGGTCCACATTTCCAGGGAATAGTTGAGACGAGTGATGATGGCTGCTTAGGTCCTCTAGGTCGGCTGCACGGGCACAATATCTGCTACTCGGTGGTGTTTTGGTACATTATACTGGAAGTCATAAATTTCTAGTAAAAATCATATGGCCATGCAGCTTGGGGAGAGCTTCAACACGAAGGCGAAAGGTCCGTCAGCGGTTTGGGAATTAGTTCCCCCCCCCCCCATTTCATTTCATTTATTTATTTCATTCTTTAAGAGAAAAGAAATGAAAGGGGGCAAAAAGAAGTTCATACCTTGGTCAAGGAAGCATCTCCCCAACAATACAAACCAATCCCAATTTTCACATTTCCATTTGCAGTTGCATTCAAACCCGAGATCCTTTGGTCCTCAATGCAGCAAGGCTAAAAGCAATGGAAAAGGTCCCAGCCAGTTGCCAGTCTTGCGCAATAAGGTGAAAAATGATCCACAATTTCGAGAATTACTTCCAAGAGACCATGATGGCATTTACATTTAGATTAAATTAAACTGTAGAACGGGGGAATAAAAAGGCTGTCTCTTGCATAAATCCTTAATCCAATTCCTTTAAGAAATATTGTCAAATCCACATATCATATTTCCCCATCCTGTACAGCTGAGAAGAGACCATACATTAGAACCAGCTCCCAGTTTAATGAGATAAAGATTGGGAAATTGAACCATACTTGGTAATAATCATATGGTTAAATTAATTAATAATGACTGATCATGACTGAATATGATCATGATCCTAATAAAGACCACATTTTCAAATCAGCCTTTTGATGGATGAACACATGTTGCAAAATATTTATTTCATCTGAAACGGTAAAATCCCACTCTTCCAGAGAACAAGGAAATATAATAATACAAAGGAGTTGATAGACACGATTTAGGGCATCTACTCCCCTTATCTCATGAGATGGCCACATAAAATAAACATTTGTGTCAGCGTACCAAATTAGAGTGCAGTGACTGATTGACAACAAACAGACATTTTCCTTTCATTTGACCCAAGACACTACTTTAAAGCCTCTGCCAGAGCCTGGAGCTTGTCGACCTAGTTTGTCTCTGAGGATCCTTCAGCTGCCAGTCATGCTAGCAGCTGGTGTGAAGGCATGAGCGGCACACAGCAGACAAGTCAGCCTCCGTGGGCTCTGCATTTCCAAACCATAGCTGAAATGTCAGCCTGGAGCTGAGTGAGGGCTGGTCTCAAACAGTGCAAGTAAACATCACACAGTTTGAGTCTAAGGGACAATGTCATTCCTGGAAAAAAAAACAAAAAAAAAAAAAACACTCACAGCATGAACTTCGCCTCTTTTGGCCATCTTTGTCAAAAGTGACCTTTCTGCGTTCTGCGTCGTTTGAAAAAAATTCAGTGCAGTGTCGTCAGTCCAACAAAGACAGATCTTTGAGTGAATGCTGAGAACCACATTCATGCTTCTGGTTCCCACAAAAACATATTGCAAGTATGTTGCTGGACACACAATACAATTATGTCACAGGGGCAACAACCTCAACATGAAAGCCCAGACTTTTTTCTGCTGATCCATTTGGCCCAGCTCTTCAAGGGAGATCCTGAGGTGTTCCAAGGACAGCTGGGAGACAGTCCTTCCGGAGAATTCTGGGTCTTCCTCAGAGACTCCTCCCAGAGAGGTGATCAGATGACATTTTTTAACAAGATGCCTGAGCTACCTCATTTGGCTACTCTGAGCCCCTTGCTGATTACAGAGCTTCTCGCACTCTCTCTAAGGGAGAGCCTTCACGCCCTTTTTGATTCTTGGTCGGCTAAAGCAAAGTATCAAGTACAGTCCCACTTCCGCTTCACAAGGTTGGACATTGCTAATCTTCAGGACACCTAATTTTGTTTTGCTTCGATATGCTTTACTGCATTATTTTCTATTGATCATTCTAGATCAAGATGCACTGGGGGGAGATCAGTTCAAGCTAGAGGTGCACGGTGTTTAGAGGGTGTATTGGTAAGCGGTAAAAGATTGGGCATAATGTAGAGATATGGACCTTAATCAACAGTGGCAATAACACTTTGGGATAATATCATCATATCTGCTGCAGTGTGGCTCGAAGCACATCTAACCATGGAGCTACTGCCTCCCATCACAATTTTTTTTTTGGGTGGGTGGGTGGGGGGGATAAGTTATGTTCCCAATCTCAATTTGTGGTTGGTACCGTAAATGCATTATTGGTAGTAATTCATAGTCCAGCTAACGTTTGCAACAGGTCAATTTCCGCCTGCAGTAAAATAAGGCACAGTAATGACAGTCCCACACAGGTAAAAAAATATACTCTAATAGTGCACATGGTTGTTGTCAAAAACTAATTGCAATAGAATCACAGTAGTCACTCTAAAGTTTAATAACTGTAAAATGTTTTCATTAAAGGATCCCAAACAACAATGACCCTGTGCTCTGCTATGAAACAGTTCAACCGTGCAATCACCGTGACCAGGAGGAGTGGATCTTTTTATCTCTCACATACAATTTTGATGCTCTGTATTTTGTGATGATGTGCATGGTGATTGCAGGGCAGCAGTCTTTTGAAATGAAGACCGTCATTACGGTCTTATCGTCAGACCACTTTAGAAGGCCTATTCAACAGAGGGCTAATGCAGCCGTACTTTTATGTCTTAATGGGTTTATTCTTTTTCCTTTGGAAAATGCTGACAAGGAAAACAGAAGCACGAGCAATTTAATGCCGGGATGTATCTTTATCACATTCAAAGCAGGAACAACAAGACTTTGGACATACTTATAGCAGTCCGGGGTTGGATTATATGGATGTGTATGGATTACAAAAAGTTACATTGTTCACACAGCTAATGGGACAAGCAAATGTTTTTCTCCAATTTTCTATTTCTGGAGTGGTTGTGAAAAGGTGGTGAAGCAAAAAAATTGAATCTCAGTACAATTCCATAAGATTTGATTTAACAATGTGTTTTTATGTGGCAGTCGATAAGAACTGTTGCAGTGGATATAATCCATCCGTTTTCCGATCGGGGGATGCTGGAGCCTATCCCAGCTGTCTTCGGGCAGTAGGCGGGGACACCCTGAACTGGTTGCCAGCCAATCGCAGGGCACACAGAAACGAGCAACCATCTGCGCTCACACTCACACCTAGGGACAGTTTTGAGTGTTCAATCAGCCTGTCATGCATGTTTTTGGAATGTGGGAGGAAACCGGAGTACCCGGAGAAAACCCACGCAGGTCTGGGGAGAACATGCAAGCTCCTCACAGGGAGAGTGTATATAATATGTATTGTACATACTGTATACATATATAAAATCATTGGAGGTTTACATGCTATAGGGGGCATTCATGGCAAAAAACAAAAAACAAAAAAAAAACGTTTTGAATTTAATGCTCTTGTTCTAATTCTTTTAGTATTAAAAAAATTGCCATTTGAACAGGGCTATGTAGTTTATTTATTTATTTATTTTTTTTTTTATCCACTGTGGAATCCATCCATCCATTTTCAACACCGCTTATCCTGAAGAGGGTCGCGAGGGTTGCCGGAGCCTATACCACCGTGGAATATTTGTAGAAAATAGATACTGTGTGTGTTGATATAATTGAGAGATGGTGTGTTTTCAACTTCTTTTCTTGTGCATTGCAACACAGCCGCTGTCCTGACACAGTTGCAATGCGCATGACCACAATTGGTTGGTGAGTTGAAAAAAATATATATATTTGCCCGCTTTTGAGAAAACGCTGACAGATGTACTCAGATAATGGTGATAGCAGGAGACCTAACTGAGTCAACCACAATGCGAAAACAATTATGATGCACAGTGCTTATCTTTTGAACAGACCTCATTGATGTAGCAGAATAACAGCATTCTTAACCACAAACCACAGTACTTAACCCCAGCCGGTCAGTTTTTCTGCCAACGACTAAAAAAAAGCACTCACCTAATCAATATTTCTTTAGAGACTGCGGAAAGTGAAAGTGAAAAGTGAGTGCTGGTGTGACCTTGCTCCAACAAACAGTAATAAAGTGCCATTACCTTTGGTAATTTTGCACATATTTCATGGTTGAACAATGGCCAACGGCCACACATGGTGACAGCATTACTCACCCTGATGCCCAGCTCCACATTCTCTCCACCGTACACCTCCATTCCTTCATCCAGCAGACCTATCTCCTCAAAGTATAGTCTGTCCACCACAAAGCAGCCAATCAGGGCGGGGCTCCTGCAGGAGGAAGGGGGATGCAGATCTGTATTGTCGGCTTGGTACAGTTAACGCAGAGACAAAACAAGAGGAGGCATGTAACCTTGTAGATGAAGTTGAAAAATGTGTGCTTGAATAATGCACATAGAGAGGTTGGGAATCACAAAGTAACTCACAGTTTACTCACTGTTATTAAATCACGGCGCCTTGAGATACCAGTGACCAAACAGACGAGTTTTTCAGATAAGAGTCATCCTTCGGTCAATTTTTTTACTTTGACTTGTAAGCAAAAAATTGAGATGGGAGCACAGTATGGTGGCAGTGAACTCAACTCACTTCACAACAAGCAGCAATTTGGTAGATTATAAGCAATTCTTCGAAAAAGAGTCTTCAAGCTTTTTAATGCCACTCCCAGTTTAAGTTTGCTGTCAAACTAAACATAAAAGCAAAAGAATTACACTTTGTCGATTGAAAACACATAGCTTTGCCTCACAAATGTGGTGATCTAGCAGTTAAGGCTTAATTGACTGCTCCCTCCCCCAGGCTGGTTGGTGGTGGCCAATCAGGGTTATCAGCACTTGTGCACACCTGCACTACAAATGCCTGAGCTGCCCACTGCACTTTGCCTGTCTATCGAGGATGAAAGATCACAGAAAGGCCTTCAGGCTCAAGCTGAGAAACTCACGAAATTTTGCTCAAGTTTGCCCTGTTTCTTCCAGCCCTTGGAACACATTGGCACCTGGAGATCAATACCTTGCCTGCCACACACCAAAGACTTTCCTGCTCATCTGCAACTTACCTCTGCCAGTCTGCCTGATCTGCTGATGCTACTTCACTTTGCCTAGTGCATGAATAAAAAAAGTATTTCTGCCATTTGCGTCCAAAAACTGTGTCTGAGCTTCACAAAAATCAGTTTAGCTTAATTGTGACAAGCAATGCCAACTGCAATAGATGGGCTGACAAATAGCCTTTGTATTTGCATTGGGAATTTCTCCATTGTGAGACGAATAAAGGTTTTCTTATTCTTCTTATTTATGGTGTTATAACCTATATTTCAACACAAGCCGTGGAGCAACATATCTAGACAAACAGTATAACACTACTCAGACAGATATTTATCCTCAGTGCAAAGTGATACTGCTGCAGCTTGCTGAGAAATCTTGAAATCTTCAAAAACTTTTTTTTTTTTTTTTTTGCAAGAGGGTCTGCATGACTACCATAATGCGTGACTTATTATACTGTCCCCGGGTAGACAAGTTGCGCACACCAGAAGGTGTTGCAATGATGCCCAAATTGTTGAATTCTTTTGAGTAACATTTTCCTTCTCAAAAAAAGCATGGAAACACAATAAATCAAGCTCATATTTCAGGGCACTACTGTATTTAGATATGACTTGTGGAGGAGACTACAGATTTCCATGTCACTAAAGTTGCTTCTGCTTGATTTTCATCGTACAGTGGACCCCCGGCTATTCACGGGCATAATGGCGGTGGGCCGGCCTGCAAATCGCGAAAACCTGTGTATAATTAATGCCTGTCATAAATACAATGGGGAATTTCTCCATGAGAACCATGCTTGGCTACTCAAAACAAGCAAAAACCAAAAAAAAAAATATATATATGACCATATGTTACCAAAAAAAAAAAAATTCAAATAAACAAAACTGAATGCCGCATCACAAATAAATGGTGGTCCACTGTACAATAATATTGGCACTTGATGTTCTAGCGATAAAGATAATACAATGCATCGCATCGCACACAAATGAACGCATGTACAAATATGTTGATAAAACAATTTGCCAGTGAGGCATAATTTCTCGGGATTTGACGGTCGCTTACTGGATGGGAGCACTTTTGTTTCCCTTGTGCCACCAAGACTTGGGGGGGTTGAGGTAGCGACACCACAGCTCCCAGTCAAAGCCCTGGGCAGACAGCGGATACTCCTCAATCTCAAACGTGTCGTACTTGATGTTGTCAAACGAAGGGGAAATTATGCGAGTTCTGTCCTCTTTAATTCTCTGAAGAATGGGTTCAGCCCTATAAATGAGACGGAGAGAGCGCACACATAATTGGAACATTTGTGTTTGCTGGCTTCTTATCACCCTCATTATGATGCTTGTGCTTATGAGAGCGTACAGAGATGAATTCATTTATTGCACATCTGATAAACTAATGGGGAACTGCCCTTGTGTAATGTGTGCAAAGATGAAAAAGATAAATAACAATTTGAAAACACATTGAAATGCACTTTCCGGTTGAATACAAATGATCATCGTGCTGTATTTGTTCACCGGCACATTAAGCAGAGGCCAGGAAGTCATTCAAATGTATTGCCAGCAAATCCACTCGAAGCCACGAGAGACTCACCAGCCAACATTGAATTCCACATGGGCATCGAAAAGGGCAACGACTGGAGCGGTGGCGGCTCGCCACCCGCTCACTCTGGACCGGATCAGGCCCTCCTGCTTGGCATGCCGCACCATCTTGATGAATCCCGGACGCTTGCTGTTGGTCTCTGACACAAAATCCTTCAACTTCTCCTTCAGCTCTTCTGCGAAACACACACACACACACATTTTCAGTATCTTAAAAAGTTCTTGGAGATGAAGAATGAAGTCAAGCGAAAAGTCTTGGTGAATAAACTTCCGCCCACGTTCTCCTCCAGTGGACATCATTTTATTGGAAGAAATCCAACAGTATCTACTCACATCAATGGACCGAAGAGGCTTCTGCAAAAAGTCTATTTGGATTTTTGGAGGCTGATGCCAATTTCAATATTTTGCAGGGTAAACTTCCAATAACTGATTAATCAGATGATTAATAATTAAGAAAATACTGTCTAAAATGAATAAAATAACTTCTTGTTTGGACCCTTAGCACTTACAAGAATAAATATATGAATTTCAGGAAGAACATTTGACAGTTTTACATGACTTTGTTCATATTTGTTTAACTTGACAACAGAGAATAAAATCAGCAAAAAATTATCCAAATTTATTCAAATTTTTTGGGTTGACTTGGGTGGGGAGTTGAATGTCACAATTCTTTTCTCATGTTGTAATGTATAAAAAAAAATTAAAAATCTGCTGATTTTAGCCAATTTAAAAATAGCTCATATCGGCCCGAGTCAAGTCTGGCAATAGGTTATGGCGGCGAAGTGTGGGCCTGTGAATCCCTTTGAGACTCTTTCGTGATCAAGGGCTAGACAACATTGTATCTCAACAATGTGTAAATTGAGCCACTCTTAGGTTGAGGTACCACTCTATTCACGTCTTACCAGAAGATGTGTGATTGGTATAAAACTTTTCCTGCCTTGCAACCCACTGTAGAAAGTACAATGCACAATGCAGGTAAACAACATGGCCTGTGTCAATGGTTAATTTTAATAGATAGCCTGGACAGCTAAAATTTGGACTGGAGGCTCCAAATGGCCTACTACCGTAGTTTGGACATCTCCAACATCAACTATTGCCCAAGTAAACATATGTAATCCAAGTAAGCAAATAGTCAGGTATAAGAGAATTTTGAATGTCATTTCAGAGCCAAATGGCTCATGCGGCCAACAAGGCTGTCGTTATCCAGCAATGTGGCTCCGGCTCTGCATGGCCATGAAGTGCGCTAATGGTTCCCCTTGGCAGGCTTCCGGTTGTTGGCAAACCTCCGGAAAGCTATTAGGGGGAGACAGACACTCAGCGAGTTTGCTGGGTTGCATAAAAGGGCCAATTCAAAATGAGCTGGAATGGCACAGAGCGCGGACCTCTACCAAGGCCCAACAACAACAAAAAAGTACAAAGCATCTTACTTGACATTTTCATTAGTTTCCTTCATTACTGTACTGCAAATTTCATCCAGCTAATCCATTATGTTGTCGATTAGATGGTAACACTTGCCTCGTGTCTACAAAGTTTGGGCTGTTTTTATTGTAAGGCATGGAAAAATAATCCCACAGTAACTGAAGAAAGTGAATCGTGAAAAGAATCTGTATTTGCCCCATTATCGAAATGGAATGGTGCATGTGCCCTCACACCACAACCTCCGCTATGAGCTGGACCTTAAAACTGCTTGGGAGACCGAGTTGTTAGGGACAATTCCAGATGAGGTTTGAGAGGAAATCTTATGCGGAGTGCACAAGTCTTCGATACGTGCTAGATACGTATAATACAATGTCGGATTGTAGATGAGCTAATTACATTAAACTCAGCTTGGAAGGACTCTCATCTCCATCTCTTATACAGTATCTGATCGATGTCAAAATGCCGCAGTGAACCCCGCGTATATTTTGGAGCTGCGGCTCAGTGATGAGTGTCTGTTCTGAAGTCTTTGATACGTTGTCCAATTTAGCTGAGAGGAAAAAAGATCAGTTGCTCTGTTTGGGGGATACACTTCTTTACCTTTGCTCTTGCCCACTGAGAAAAGCTTAATAGCATTCATAGGTTGATGTTGTTAAAATGGAAATCCCCAGTACCACCCACTTGAAGAATGAGGAAAAAGTGAAGGGATCTTTGCGATTAATGCAACATCACTTGATATGATTTTTTTAAAGGTTTCATGTTAGCTGCAAAAACTGTCAAATATCTTCACATAATACATCTTGGAACAATTGTTGTGGCTGTCTGCTTGTACCATTTATCGTTATTTTTTTTCTCTTAACAATTACACTTTCATCATGAATATTGTCATGTCCGATTGCTGATTATACAATTATTTTAGGGCTGCAACGATTAATCTAATAACCAGAATAATTTGATTACAAAAAAACATTGAGGCAAAATATCTGCATCAAGGCTTCACGGGGATCATTTTTCCCATATGAAATAAAGTGATTGCAGTCGCACACGCTAGTCCTTCCATGTGGAAATAAATTGGCCTGATCGCGTAAAAGAGTCCGTAAAGGAAAGAGAATGTCCGAATTTAGGGAGAATTTAAGCTTAACATGGAACAATGCAACACACAAAACAACGGCATCTACAACTGCCAACACAAATTAAGACAATGGATGATTGTTAGGCGTCCCGGTGGTCGAATTGTTAGCGGCTCCGGCCTCCCTGTGTGAAGTTTGCATGTTCATTTACTGATGCCCATATCACTAACCAGGTCATTCCTTGCCTTTTAAAGGCATAAATAAAGTCATAGATACAACAGTAGAATGTTATAACATCAATATGAAGTGGACAATTGAAACTGCTGTTTCCGAACAAACAGATTGTTAAAAATAAATAAATAAAAAACTCAGATGTGTGTTTCTTCCCTTGAGCGTGTTGAGCAACAAAAGCAAGCTATAAGCAATGCCTCTGAAGTCCAAACTGCAGATCATATGAGAAAACAAAGCTAATGTCTTTAAATTCCCTTCAGTGCTTTCTTCAAAAAAGAGCATCGAGGGTTTTTCGTTTTTGCATCTTGCTTGTAGCAAAGCTCCAATAGTTATTCAATTGCACCAGTGCGCCAACAGATTTGCGTACTTCCAAGCAATTCAGATCTGTCAGTAATGAAGGTATCCTGTATGTGTGCGAATGGAAAATAAGAATGATGGTGTGTTATGCCTCACAACAAATCATAATAAGGAACAGTTCATTAAAGCAGGAGTGACTGCTGGCCAACAGCCATCCATCTTTCACGAATGATAAACTTGTGTCACTGTAATGGAAAGCAACGGGCTGTGGAACGGAGCCTAGCAGGAGCAACAGGCACTTGCATTCATGTGGTAAATCCAATAATACATTGTAGATGCAATGACAGCGAGCAATAATATAACATTGCGTGAACTGGCTCAGTATTGTCTTTGCAGATCCATAACACAGCAGCATAGTTTCAGTTCTTTCTTTCTTTCTTGATGTAAGAGTAGATGGAGAGAATTACACATGCTGATATCCAAGAAAAAAAGTAGTGAGTAGTAACGATTCATATTCCCCTCTGTTGATGCTCAATTGTTTTTGTTGCGCTTGTCTGTTGTTTTTGTCACATTCCTACTGAGGCTGCACACCATTTTAGCTGCAGCCTTTTAGGCTCATACTGCTCAAAAATGGTACAGTCGGGGTCCCTTTTTCTCACCCCTTGTAGGAACTATTTTAATACACCCCATGAGGTTGATTATTTGACCTGAAGGTGTCTATTTTTAACTTTTCTAGGGCATGTTTGTTCCCTCCTCTCTTTCTGACATATTCTGTTGACTTTTAAAGTTACAATAGTGTCGCCAAAGGTTCAACTTGGTCCTCTTATGAGCTGCACAACATAGAGATTCGTATCACTTTTGATGGACAGAGAAGTGTGCCATTGTACCTATGAATCTACAATACAGTGGTGCCCTCAGATGCGAGTTTAATTCATCTGGCGACCCTGCTCGTAACTCAAATCATTTGTATCTCAAATCATCTTTCCCTCTTTAAATAAATGACACACCATTAACTTTTCCAGCCTTTCGCACAAAAAAATTTTGTTTTTTTTTTTTCAATTAGAAAAGTACTCTACTCATATACTATTGCTTTTTTTATATTACAAAATACAGTAATAATGTTGCTAAATAGAATTCTGTTCAGTATAGACATCTCGGCTCCTCATGGAGGATAAAGAAGATATGACTACATGTACTGAAAGTCTAAATGTGCAAGGAGGGAAGTTGCTCTAGCACGTCGATATTCTTCACGACAGGGAACTGTCAGGGCTAATCTTGTCTAATTAAGCTGTCAGGGGAGGCGAGACCGGAAAATATGTCAATGCAATATAACGCGATCTAACTTGCTGTTGCGGCAACAACAACAATCATGTTGACAATTGCAAGACGCAATCCCATAAAATGAGGTGAAGGTGTTAGTCACAGGGTTTTTGTTGATATGTCACACGATGTGGAAGATATCGCAACAAATCAAAAATATCCCAGGTGTTACCTTGTGGCATTTGCACCGAATTTTATCATGCCATAAGGAGTTTTGTTGTTCCTGACTAAATATTTAGGGCCAGATTTGTAAAATTGTGCTAGAAAATCAAGCCAATATCGGGTCTAAAAGCTTGTAGTCTGTTTCAGGCATGAATTGTGAGGCTCATGAGACACTTCCACAATGGCAACTACATCGTGGGTCAGTAGGCTAATGATGTTATCCACAAATGTTGTCATGACAACTACAAAAGTAGTAAATGGGGTGTAATGTCACCTACCAAATGTCACATCATGACTTGGCTTCCTGCAGGAGCCCAAGGAGGCCGTGCTGCCAATTAAAAGATGCACGTGACTTGTTTTTCAGACATAATGTTATCATATAAGGCTAACAGAGAGCTTTGGGTTCTCCCATTTCTTCTTTTTAAAGTATCAAAATACTAAGTGGATATTTACAACTCTGAGGCCGTCAAGACCCCGAAGGAGTGTGATCATTGTCATCCAGCATGTTCAGATAATATAACACTGATCTACATTCTGTTCCAGCAAGCTGCAGGCCGAGCTGCATGTTTTGCATTATTGACTTGGGTAAACAAACTTCTCTCAGGGCCAGTTGTCACCGTCTTGATATCATCTAATGGCTGTCTAACTTGGGTTGCATGCAGAGACTTTTAAAAACGGTCAACTTATAAATGCATGACCTTGACACTGCACCATTAAGAGTGTGTACACACTGCACTTGGTTTACACGGTGCAGGAAAGTACAGGCACAATGGCGGCGCAGCGTAAGCTTGCCACTATTTGGCGCTGGTTGTGAATAGACTGAACAGGAAGTAGCCCAGGACTTTTGCTCACTACTTTGGACGTAAACAAGGCGGTAGCTCAGCAAAACTGTTTTATCGCTGTTCCAAGACAAAGCCCTAAAATAAGGGTATGTGTTTGTCCGATTCTAATGGCACGGCGGGATCTGGGGGAGTTTAGGCTCATCTGTCAGCTATAGCTCTATGGAGAATGCTTCGAGTCGTAAGCACTGAACTACCCTTGTAGGCCGCAGTGCGATGTACCTGCACAATGTAACCAAATCAGGACCCAAAATGGAGCACAGGAGTTTCTATTGGATCACTGATGGTCAAAGTAAAACATTGGGAGCTATTTTCATACATCACCGATGTTGCTTGTCTAATTTCCGTGCAACCCACATGGGTTTATTTCCCACTCAGAGACGGTGCAAATGTGAGTGTGAATGTCATGCCTCTAGACGTCCGCTGGGTTGACTAGCGACCCATCCAGGGCATACTGTGCCTTTGACACAATGCCAGCTGGGCTAGGATGCAGCTCCTCACAATGTCGGACAGCAAAATGGATGTCTGGCTGTTTTATTGATTGTTCTTGGCAAACGGCTCCTTGAGCGATGCCTGTTGTATTCTTAAGCTTTAGGTTATGTAAAGAATATGTCGAAGTTATGGTAAAACATGATGCATTTGTCCAGGAAGGAACTACATTTCCAATTAGTTTTTTTCAGCAAACAAGGTATAATAATGAGATCCATTAGAAGAGGTGAATACTTCTTCCTTTTCAAAGCCAATAATTAGAGTGGCATCAATTTACCGATATGATGTGTATGCTTATGGAAATGTGATGCAGGTTCTATCTATCTATCTATCTATCTATCTATCTATCTATCTATCTATCTATCTATCTATCTATCTATCTATCACACTACATAATCTCAGTCTTTGCGGATGTTTTCAGCAACTATCTTCAAACATGTCTAAGGTATTTAGAACTAAATATCTGTATTCACTTAACAGGGTCTTTCACCATTCAAATGACAGACAATAGGGGCACTATTCATTGCTATTGTTTCGGGATGTATAAAACTAGTAAAGGAAAGTACCCTTTGTGTTCAAAGCTACTCGGTTTAAGAGTGGATGCTAAGTTGGGAGAATGTGTCGTAAAGTTAAAGTTTGCTGGTTACCGTTATTGCTGTTGTCATCCACCAAAATGATCTCTTTGAGTAGATGGGAGGGCGTTCTGCTAATGGCTGAGTGAATGGACCGCAGGATGACAGACAGGGCTTCATTCACGAAAATGAACACGACGCTCACTTGCGGGAGGTTTAAAGGATAAGTGATGTTTCTGCACCTGTAGAGGACAAAAGAAACAACTGGTGAGGTAAGTAACCTTAAAGCTCTTGTAAAAGAAAATGAGAATGCAATTTTAACAACATTAAAGCAAGGTAAATACAGTATTCATTGGAATGTATAGTATTGTGGTTACAATCTAAATCAAAATAAGTTGATTACACAGTGATTAATGTTGTCACATCGCTCTTCCAGCAATGAAGGTATTTATATCCTACTCCATCCCATCACCAAATCATGTCGCTCATCCAAGCAAACAGTGTGTTGTTTACATAATGCCATTGCCCGAGCATGTCTTTTAAAACATGTTAGGACAATGCCAAGGCTAAATGTGTGATTAATATATCACCCCCTCACCCCAAAGTATTTTGAATGTATCTGTGTGGTTTGTACTGGTGGCAACGGATGGTCTGGAGTACAGTAGAGAAAACCTCCCCCGGAACTTTTAACTGCGCCAGAATTAGCACTGGGACCTCCCCTTGTAGGCTCCTGCAACGTGGTGATGTCACCATAAACAATGAGTCATGGTCAATAACGATGTCCAAAGTGATGTTCTGTTCTTCTCTGAGACTTATGACTAACATCTACATTAAAACATAACATTTTCAAGATGTGGGATTGAATTAATATTGGTGGTTGGACAATGGGTCAAATGAGTAAATTCCCTGGCTTCCTGTTTTGGAAACAGGAAGCCAGGAGGTATCACTCCAGGTGGGATACACTGTGGAGTCGTCGTCAGCCAATCACAGGGAACATGTAGACCATTTTCCGTTCCACGTCATCAAGGGCTGTGCTGCATCGTTGACTCAAAACAAGGGGAGAAAAATACGAGTGTGGCTGTGAAGATTGTGTTTTTTTTTTTAGCGTGGAGCTGTTGTCGTTTTTGAATACTTTCAAACAATATCGACATGCCTAGCTGTTGTGTGTATGCGTGTGCGAAGCTTCCTACCCAGTGGGCCTGAGATCTGCGATGGGCCTGTCTAATGGGAGACGGTCGCTGAGGTAACTGTTGTAGCCGTAGTACTGGAACATCTTGAGCGCCACTCGTCGATTATCGGAGCTGAGCTCCTGACCCCAGTGAGCGAAGAGAGACGAGTCTGAGAAAGACGTGTCGGCCTGCTCGTCCTCTCCTCGGCCCGGAGCCTCTGAGACACAAGACAAATAGCATAAAGGATTGTCTCGAGTCCAGACCGCAGTTGCTGCAAGTGTGCACAAAGAGACAAAAAAGAAATACGGCGCAGTGATAATGCATTCACTGTGATAAATGACTTTCCTGTGATCTGATCAAACATGAAATAGACCAGGGGTTCATACTCTTGATGGAAAGCCCAAGTGTCCTTGAACAAAAGATCCAATCATTAAAAGCCGGTGGTTGCATCTGCAGACGCTCTGACTCTTTGACCTCCAGGGAGCTAAATGAAAAAGCACGTCGACAACCGGAACAGCTTCTAAGAGCATTCAAGTAACGGCTTACCAATGAGCACAGTTAAGTGTTGCTTTAGGCAATATCAATGCAAATTTAATAGGAATATGTACTTTTGTGCGGTTCACCCTGCACGCCTACCTTGCCTCATCTGCTTCCCTGCATTTGGGTCCAAAACCTAACTTGACAGAGTCAAGACATATCTTCTTCTATAGCTTATTCTTCATTAAAGATAAGACGAAGAGCTTTGTTTCTAAGTTTTACAAAATGGAGTCAAATTTATTGTGATTGCACGTTAGGAATACACAGCAATGATCTTCACTTAACAGTCACAACCTGTCCAAGAGACATAAAAAACAATGACCAACAGAGGGAGACAGAACGGAAAGCCTGCAGAGCCACCAGAGGGCGCCCCAATTTTCATCGAAAACAAAGAGAAACATAAGGAAGGGGAGGGGGAAAAACAGTTCCATACTTGGCTCCTATAAGGTATGTATGGGTATGGGGAAAGAAAAACCTCAGAAAACACACACATGAATAGAAGACACAACAAACAATGACTCAAATATTTGCACATGTGGAAAGGGAGAAGGCGGGTATCGTACGGGTCGACATTACCTGTCGTAAAATTATTTTTACACTGGTAAAGCAGTTAAGAATGCGGTAATGTTTCCAAATATAAATCAACTGGATGTCAATAGAAATGGATCCAGATGTTGAAAAACTACTGGTTGCAAAAGGTCACAACTCACACCGAGTCACCGACAAACACAGAATAATGGGCTCGTGGCCTGTTAACAGCCTGCCAGCACCACACTCTCATTCCCTGGTGCCTTCTTCTAAAGCCATACACATTCAAAGTCACAGATACTACAGAAAAAGCTGAAGACACTGACTTCAAGTGGACAAAAATAATACCTGCACCTCACATGTGCATCATTGTCTTGCTAAAAATATGCAATAGCTGCAACCCTAAATACTGCGATCGACTTGGGACCAGTTCACGGGCTACCGGTCGATCGACTGGTTGGGCATCCCTGCATTAGAGGAACAGCAGGCAAACGTTTAGCAACAGGGCATGTTTCAGGTGCCAAAACCAAATACGCTCGCAGCCCGTGCTGATAGACACGATCTTTATAAAACATCGGCAGCATCTGCTCAAGATTGAGAGCTACAAGAGCTTTGTAAATGCGCACCAGGCGTGTTTAACAGTCAAGACGATAACTTCCCGGCAACTAGGTTGGAATTCTAATAAAAGGGAGGCAAAAAATGCATGCTTCGTGTGAATTCCACAGGTTGCTCATGTAATAGAGGCATTCCTTGGACTGTTGCTGCCTGTTGAGACATTGCACCAGGAATGTTCACAATGTGAATATTTAAGCACGAAACTGTTTTGTTTATTACACCCTAGACTGGTCACCAACAAAATGCAGGGCATGAAAAAGCGATTTATGGCTAGAAAACAGTGGAAGCGCTATTGTGAATACAAGTTCACAGCGAGAAGACGATATATCGAGTTATCAATTAAATTTAAAAATAAAAGAACCTCACAAGTTTCCGTGGTACAAAGAAAAAAAGGAGAGAAGCTTGTTGAAGATAATGGTGTACTGTATATTGTTCATATGGATGTCGGATAAGAAAGAAATGAAATAAAAAGAATAAGAAATAAAAGTCCCTTTGGTATCATCTGTTAATCTCTGCGCTTTATTGAGTCTATAAAGGAGCAGTTATATGACGTAGCTTTAACAGCCTACAATACTGCTGACAGATTGAGGTTATGCTGAGGAATAATTCACTGGCTGACAACTACTAAACACCTTTTAACTGCAGGAGGAAGCAATTTCTTCTTTTACTTGTTTTTTTCTTTTAATCCTCTTAAAACTGAGAGTGGCTTAAACAGTGTACACACACATTGTACATGACAGTGACTTTACATTGCAACAAAAAGAAAAGCCGAGACCACTTGAGGTATTATTTTATACACACTATGGGGACAGTAGAAGTAACATTCATTATAAATTTTGGACTGTATTACTGATAGATTCATTGCCAACAGGGGTGGCAATACGGTAAAAGTGGCAACTGCTTTACTTACTACTACTACTACTACTACTACTACTGTTGCTTTCGTAATGGTATTCGTCCTCAAAGAGGCTGAGAGCCCCTGGTGAGACACCAAGAAACAAATGACAAGGTTATAAAAGACGTTTGTGTCTGTTAGTTTGTTTTAAGCAGACTGGACATTTAATATTTATGAGCACATTGTCTAACTAACATATGATTGACAACCTTGTCTCTCCAATTTGAATATGGATGTCAGTACCAAGGGCGCACTTGCACAAAACAAAGAAAATAAGAAATGACTCCATGGTGACATGCATACACAATGTATAAATATAAAGTGTGACAGAAAAGTTTCGGAACGGGTGTCGGAAAAGATATATTTCAAATATTTTGCCAGGGAAGTGATCCCTTATATTTTCCATCTCCTCTGCCGTGCCTTCTTGCGCTTCTGGAAAGAGTCTTCTGCAATCCGTCGTCCCGGCCATTTTGGGCTCCTCCAGGTCTTCAAAACAGGTCCCTTTGATGACGCATTTGTAACGGGGGCCGGGGGGGTGGGGGGGATTGTCTTGAAGGTTGGGTGAGTAAGAAGGTTGCTCCAGCACAGCTCCAGTCAGATACTCAGAGCATTTTGAGCAGGCTGTCAGGGTGAAGCAGTTGTACAAGTTGTCCTGCCTCTTCTTGCACACTGAATGATCAGACTGAATGTGCATCTACCGTATCTCATTTTGATAACCCCCCCCCCCGCCCACCGTTTATTCATATGTTCTTCCTTTTTTCACTTGGAGATGCAAGATGTAAGGAGCTCATCATTCTGTTTTTCGCAGCATTATAAAGCCTAAATGCATTTATTTGAATGATTCCGACTAAATGTCATCATATATAAATTTAATACTGGGGCTTTTCACAGATGCATTTTCGCTTTGTTTATTCAACTCAAATGCATTTTGAATGAGCTGCTCCACCACTCCAGCTGTTCTACTGAAGAAGACGAAGCGTAACATGCCGCAGTTGCCCCCAGCAGCTATGTTACAGACTGACATCATTAAGCGGCATACTGTACTGCGAGGGGTGCAATCACGTGTGAAACAGCGTTCTAATGGTCTCTTTGGATGGGGGCACGAAAATCCAACTTGGCAAATAACATTTAGTTCACAGATAAAGTTTATGTTTACAATACAGTACTTTTTTCGACTGAAGCAGTTGTAATTAAAATCGACCGTTGGGTTACACTAAAAATGAAGAAAATCCCATTTCGGGGCAGTGCGGTGCAATATAAAATTAATCTTTTGCTTGTTTGTACTTCAGGCCTATCTTGTCACTTTGTAAAAAATTGAGAAAATCAGTGGTCGACTGGTTAGCACGTCTGCCGCACAGTGAAGAAGTGCAGGGTTCGATTCCGCCTGCGGAGTTTGCATGTGCCCGTGCGGTTTTTCTTCATGTACTCCGATTTCCTCCCAAAGTCCCAAAACATGCATGGCTGGTTAATGGTACACTCCAAATTGTCCCTAGGTATGATTGTGAGTGCGGATGGTTGTCCGTCTATGTGTGCCCTGCGAGTGAGTGGCTGGCAACCATTTCAGGCTGTCTCCCGCCTCCTGCCCGAAGACATCTGGGATAGGCTCCAGCGTGCCTGCGACCCTCGTGAAGATAAGCGGATTAGAAAATGGATGGATGGATGATTTCACATTCTGCTGTAAAACCCCGGTGCTTCCATTTGTATCCATCATTTTTAAGTTCGGTATTCCTTCACGGGGTTCTAGGTGTGTTGCATTGCATTGAGTGGACTTGATTTGGAAAGTCACCTTCCATCTCCGTAAGGTTTGTAGCAAAGGACAAACCTTGGCAAGGTTACAGAAAATGCTCCACTTAATGTTCCTGAGAATAAAGTGGCCTGCACAATTCTAAAATGGTCACACTGGCTCAGTTTCAACTACAGTGATGAAAGAGAACCATTACACTGAAAACTAAAATGTTCATGCATTTTCTGAAATTGATTGTTACACTACCGCTGCTGCACGCTGACAACAAAGTCAAATGGATGTGAAGAGATAAAAAGATCTCAGGATCAACTTGACATCAGACAGACGTTTTAAACAAATCTGCTGCAGTCGTCCGAACACAGGCAGACATTTTACAATTCATCCTCAGCCGCGGTGTCATTCTGCATAGAAAGTACAGACATCAAGCAACTTTGCTGCTGTCACAATAACGAATTAAAATTTTCCTTGAGATAGCAGGGTAAGACCTTGCTGTAGACCACAGTCTGATCTCATCATTCTTGTGAATCACGCTTAAATATTTATCTCTTGGTAAGAAAAAAAAAGCTACCGTGGAAACCATTTGACGCCAGCCGTTTTCATGCAGAAAATCCCCCACATGCTGTCAGTAATATTTTTCCAAATACATCTCCTGCAGAGGAATGCGATGCTGCACATTATGAATGTTTTGCTTTTAACTGTCTGTGACAGCGTCGTGGGGAGCTACTTTCAAACTTCTTATGTGACTTCCTATCCGACACAAACATTTGTTCCATTCATGACTAAAGGATTGCGAGAGTAAGAAATGAAACAGGAATGAAACATTTCTCACGGCCCTGTCAGGTACCATCAAGGTGCGCCATGCTTGAATACATCAATTGATCAGTGTGTCACGAAAGTG